GAAGGAAAGATAGATGGGCGGATAGAAGTGACAAGAAGACGAGGAAGAAGACGTAAGAAGATGCTGGATGACCTTGGGGACAGAAGAGGATACTGTCATTTGAAGGAGAAAGCTCTAGATCGCATTAAGTGGAGGAATTGTTTTGGAAGAGACTGTGGACCTGTCGTCTTGACAGATTACTGATGATGATGAGATGGCTGATAGTAACGCTATTGAAACGCATAAAATAATTTGTTTCTTTATAGTCTGGGGCACTTTGCTACAAGCTGGAAGGTCGCAGATTCGAGTCCCAATGAGGTGGATTTTTTCAATTTGTCTAATCCTTCCAGCCGCACTGGGGCCCTGGGGTCGACCCAGCCTCTAACAGAAACGAGTTTCTGATTTATGCTTTGAAACGCCATATTTCGCTTAAGGAAGGAAATTAAGTTAAATGTAACTCATTTGTAAACATATGTGTGTGTGTGTGTGTGTGAGAGAGAGAGAGAGAGTGCAGAACATAGCATTAACTGAAAACTATCTGCTCTAACAGGTACGCATAAAATGGAAAATATGACCCTGTGTTGAAATGAACACGAGAAAGAGAATGGAAAACGTAGGACGGATAAGTCAACTGATGACAATTGGAATATACAGTGATGGAAGAAGAGGGTTTTAAGGAACGGAAACGGAACGATTCAGAGCTACGGGACAAGAGAACGGGGGCCATCGAAAATTGGCGAAACGCAGCAGAAGTAAAACAAAGGTACATTTTCACTGTTACAGCATATGGCTTCAACTATTACATGTCTTGCTTTAGTCTGAAATTTCATCATACCTTATAAACAAAGATTCTGACAATATAAGCTCATACTAACCTCTTGATCGTAACACTGATGTGACTGAAGGCAGTACTACAGTAACGGCTTCGGTCACCCCATTTTATACTGCAGCAACCTGTTATTTCATTACAGTTCACTGAATCAAATCATCAACTTAAGGCTGTTCCTTACTGTTAGATTTTAAGGGTTCTGACGATGGCGTATAACATACAGAATTATGGACACTTTTCCATCATCCGGTATTCTATAGAATTGTAAAACACGACGTTTCGGAAACTGGATCTGTTTCCGTCCTCAGGTGAAGGTGGGAGAAGACATCTACTAAGTTTGGTCCCTTACAAAGAGCTAATCTCATTCCAGTGATTCTCTAGAATACCGGACGATGGAAAAAATCCAAAAACCCAGTAATTCTGTCTGTTCCTTACTGGTTTTAGCTATAAATTGCTACTGGCTACTGTAAGTAAAAAAAAAAGAAAGTAAAGCTATTCCTGTACCAGGCCGTGAAGGCCCATAGGGCTGTGAGACGTTAAGGGTCCCACATTACCTTGACAATCGGCTCAAAGATGGCGGTAAGGTTGTCAGCCTTAAGCGCCGGCCGCGCTTCACTCCCCAGGAAAATTATTTAATTAATTCCTGGTACTCATTTCTGTTAGAGGCTTAATAAACCCCAGGGCCTAGTGCGGCCGGAAGGATTAGGTCAATTGAAAAATATCCAATGACCTTATCGGTATTTAAATCCGCGTCCTTCCGCCTTGTAGCATAGTGCCTTAACCACTACGCTACCGCGGTAAGGGGGTGTGCAATTTCTTTGCGCGCTCGAACACCGAGGTCTCGAGTATGAATTCGGAAAATAAGATATTCAGTTTCTTAGAGTCTTCCTCCTATGAGCTCACCGTTGGCAACAGAGCCTTGCCGCCTATTTTAAGAATTTAGGACAAATGCCATTTATCGTCATTCTCGTATAATATGCACAATCTATGTATAACCCATGCATCTGAAGTACAATATGGTCGCAGCTAGAAGAAGGTTACGGCCAACAGTCAGTCTGTATGAGATTATACAGGTATTTTACACCTCGTCGCTAGATGGAGGTGAGCAGTTAAGTCCATGAGCCAGGCAGTTTACACAAGATAAAAATTCTGTAGCATAGATGGATTTCAAACCTCAACACTAAATGGATGGTACAAGCCGGAAGGTCGCGGGTTCGATTCCCGATGGTGTTATTTGCTTTTTTCAATTTGCCTAATCTTTCCAGTCGCACTATGGCCCTGGGGTCTACTGAGCATCTAACAGAATTGAGCACAAGGAAACTTCCTAAGGGGCAAAGGGCAGCCAGGGCATAAAGGCGGCCACACACAGTAACTGCGTCAAGACAAGCATCAAGACATGTGTTTCTTCAGCATGAAGCTGATGTCAGCTTCATGAATCAGACTGGTGTGCAGCGGTTTTTGTAATCTCATTCATTTCAACTGTGCTCCTTTCTTTGCATCATGTTGCAGACATCGTGTCTTGACTGTTACATGTCTTGATGCATACCGGTGTGCGGCCTACCTAAGGCTGACAACGTTACCGCCATCTGTGAGCCGATTGGCTCACAGATATGGGAACCTCTACGTCTCACAACCCTATGGGCCTCCACGGCCTGTTACAGGGATAAGTTTACCTTCTCTACTCTAATTGGATGTGAGCGGTCATCTTCACGCAAATGATGCTTTATCACTGATACCCACTAGACAAGGGATCCATTGAAGAAGTTACACAGCTAAAGCATATAGCGAGGACCTGCCTTAATTCAACGTATTTTCTTATGAATGACTAGTAATAAGCCAGTTGTGTCTTGTTGCAAATGTAGACACAGTTGTTCATTTCATGTAGTTACCATGTGAGATGTATTTACAGAGTATGAGCATGTGTCTGAGAGGATACACTCATGAATGAACCTCATAATTTTTCTTTCAAAGCTGCAAATGAATTTCATTATAGAAATCCTTGACATGCAGTCTTTGTACCCATTATTTCACATGATCACACAATGGGGAAGTCCCCCCTTCCCACTCCCCGACCACATCATGTAAATTCGTGTTCTGACGCTATAGACACCAACTCTAACACATGCACACTGAGGGGACTTAACAACATAAGCAACAAAACAGAATAGAGCAGCTTTCTCGTCCAGTAATTTTAACATATGATTTTGACCGCATTGGTTGAAACATGTAGTAATAAACTTTTGAAGTGAATATCCCTTAATAACTTTTATAAAACATAGTGTTGCATGTGAGACTGTAAGAAACTGCCTATGCTTCTCTGTTATTTGCCTTCCACCTCCATCTTTTCATTTTCAGCTCTTGTAAATGATTCTCTGCATCTTCTAGCCATATCAGTCCAAGGCTTCCTACCTCTCTTCTACCTCCTGACTTGAATATTGAGTACAGATAGAGGCAGGACAACTTCCAGTCATCTCAAGCGGTCGTCTCAAGGTCTACTGCGCACCCCACAGTGGTATTCTGGCTCTTTCAGAGCCTCGACCTTAGCTAGAGTTGAAATCCTCTAGACTTGTCCTCATAACATATATCGGCTCAACCCCTACAGAGTGAGCTGAAGGTAATAGATCCATGCTCAACCAAGCTGGACATTGATATAATGTTCTCCTCAATTGGGCTTCTGGCAGTGGGAGTATCCCAGCCACCCTCTATCATTTGCAGACAGGGGCAGCAGAGCCCCCACCCATGGTCCCAGCTCAACCCACTAAAGCTCCACCTGAGCCGTCAATTTCCTTGAGAAGAGGCTTCGTCTTCCCGACCACCTCCTTCTGCTATTCAGGCATTTCTTCTTTCCAGTGGACACGCTACTAACACCCATCAAGGGACTTCTTTCATTCTTAGACTCCTGGGCACCTCATCAAGTCCCCTGAGTGGTGAGGACCATTTCCTCTCAGCAGCAGAGTGGCCAACAGTTGGCTGTGAACTATTGTGTAAGATGAAGATCTTATTTGAGATGACTGATGATGGTGTCTATAGCCACACACAGTCATTCACTAATAGGGACAGCTTACCCCCCCCCCACACACACACACACTGGTCCTAGCCTGACTAAGATCCAGATGAGCTCCCGGTTCCTTTGAGAAGAGCATTCTTCTACTGGTCACTTCTTTGCTAGACTGTCTGATCTTTCTTCTTGGTAGCCAGGTTGTACACCTTTAACAAAAGACCTTATACTGGCTTGCTATTCAGAGCCCAAGAGATGTGACCATTCTTCATGGCAGCATAGAAGCCAATCACTGTGTCCTTGAAATGGAGTAAGACTACAGCAACATCTCTAGTTGGTCTGACCACAGTGGAGCCACTTCATGACCTTCTTTCAAAAAATATATTCACCACTTTTGTATGATCCTTTCTGATTACATACCCCAACTACTCCAGTGTTCTTCTTTTAACACTTGCTACCAAATCAAGGATTTTATAAAACTCCCTCAATTCTCGGGTAGCTCTGACTCCATATGCCCCACTCACTTACTGATCCATGCACCTATCTAAAAAATTTCCTCCTGCGTTTGACATTGCTTTCTATAGTTCGATTTTTGATATTATGCTCACAGTTCTAAACTGTTGTGGCAAGACAGTCACCATACAAATAACACAGCACAGGGTCTGAAATAGCGATTCCTTATACTTTGTTTTGTTAGCCATACTGAAAATATTTTAAATAAACTTCTTCATTGTTTATGAAGTCCATATTTTATGTTATGTACCAACTGTCAGTATGAAGATAAATTTCATAAGAAAATAGAATTGAGCTTTATTTAAACCAAACTGAGAACAGGCAGTAAAGTTGACAAATAATCTTTTAGAGCTGAGAATGGTGAATTTTCTAAATAAACTCAGAAGTTCCATACTGACATGACAGAAACTCATATCTGGTGTTCATATTAATATTCTTTTTACTAAAGTGAAATGAATATTATTTTAATAAAGTTTTAATATAAATTATGTGCATAATTAATAGAAACTGCAAGTGAATCAATGCATGTAATTCCCACTATGGTAGCCCATATTCAATTCCAGTTCAGGACATGTGAAATTTGTGTTGGACAATTGGGCACTGGGATAGGTTTTCTTTTAATCATCCTGTTATGCACTGCAGCCATAATGATTTTTCTTGTATAGTATAATTAGATTCCCTTACAGATTTATTACAATGGCTGACAGGTGACATAACACCTGAGGCAAAACAAACTTGCTATATTATGACAGCTTCAACAGTTCTCATTCAACAACCCTTACAACAGGTTAGTTGCAGTAACACAGATTGGTAGAAGCTGATGAACGTGCTGGCATAAGGAAATTACAACAGCACACAGGCAAGATTACAAGCAATGAGAGAGAATTAATGTTGACAAAAGGGATGAAATTGCCGACAAGAATAACCTTGCAGCCCCTGCATGTCAAGTCTTGAAAAGACAAAGTGTATCACATCAATATAGTACAGAGATCATAGTTCACATATCATGTAGAGAGCAACCAGTGTAGAGTTCTGCGTGATAAGATGAATCCACTGCCACAAGACGCAGTAGTTTTGTCGATATCTTTGTCAAGAAGCAGTTGCACCATGGATTATTTCCTTCAACTCTTTGCATTAGTATCGCTTGTTTCTAACAGTAACTTAAACTACAGAACAACAAGCCAGCCACTCAATCCTTCCAGAATGACAGCTTCAGTAAAGTTTTATTGAGTAGCCATCAACCCACACCCAAGCACAATGAATGTACAGGTTAGGCAAAGCCTGTAAAATTAAGTGATCAAATGATGGTGAATTCTACAACATTGTATTTTGTGTATGTATGTAAACTATATTTGTAAATAATTACAAATTGTGTGTTACGCTTATCCCTTGGAACCTGTATAATTATATGTTAATGGTGGCATTCGTGGGTTGCCTACCCTCCCTGTAGCAACCCCCTAACATATCCTATCATTGACACTATATAGTCTCGATTCTGACAGCTTTGTTACATAAAAACATGTAGGAAAGAAGAAGTTTAATAGTAATGGTAGAGGCAGCAGATGATACAATTTACATCTCCACAGAATTCTCAATTGTATATAATCTTTTTGCTGCCACATCACATGTAAAAGTAAAAGGTAAATTTGTCCATGTGCACAACGAATTAAGCACTATGCCATGAATGCTTATGGGGGGTGGGTGTATAGATCCACATTTTCACGGCCTCAGCACTAGCTGGAGGTGAGTGGTCAGCTTCACGCCCCTGCTGCTTTACCCCCTTGGAAAGACCTCCCGGTTTCCATTGGATAGGAGGTTGGGTTTACCCCAGAGCCCATCTGGACGATTTGTAGAAGAGAAAATTCTTGACCCTAGCGGGACTCGAACTCCAACCCCTCAGTCGTCCAGCCTGTAGCCAGTCGCTATACCGACTATGCTACCCCAGCTCCTTCACATTTATATGACATAAATAATCTTTTCTATCTAGTGTGACATTAATCACTTGGTGTTGGTCAGATTCTGCTGTATCTTATAATAGTAGTCATGCTGGGAATACTAACAAGCATTTCTTAACCTCTTAAATGGCTTTTTAACTGAAATCTGCCAAAACATTTGTTTGCTCACACTGGGCATGTTTGAAAGTATTTAGATGTAACAAATGGCATTGTGATTTTTCATTAAACCTGTGTAACTATTTGAGACCTATTTTGTTTCTTATAACAGTTTATTTTATGATAATAATGTGAACAAAAATAAACTATGCAGATTAAAATAAATACATGACTGACTGTTATCTGTAATGAATTTATTTAACTTTTAATGTCCATACTAGTGTTTATGGGAATTAAATAATTGTCCTTGTAGACAAAAATTTCAGTTTCTTTTCGTATAACACTAGAATAATGATTATTAGAAATAACAAATACCTTAATTAGTTACATACGTATGTACCTTCACATTCCGAACACCTGAACTTACAGATTTTTAAGCCTTAATAGGAAGGCACAAAGTGTCATTCAAACAGAACATTTACATAATGCCATGTAAAAAAAAAACCAATAATGAAGCCTATATACTAACTGTATAGAAGTTTATAGTCATATAGCATGCAATGTTTAGTAAGAATGATTATTTTGTCAAGTTCTTACCTATTTGATTACTGTTTCATGCATATTTGTCAATATAACACAATACATCCCTTATTAAATTTTACACTAGGTAGAAGTAAAAGTGTTCAGCTGCACACTACAAATACTTTATTTCAGAGGGACAACCCAACTGGATACAACAGCCACTGGATAAGAGACTGGATACTCCCTGGATTCATTGTCAATATTGTGATGAAGAATTATTGTGTCTCTGTCAATTATCAAACTCTTGCCATCAGTCCTTTGCTGTTCACAATGTTAACTCAGTTGTCACAGTTTACATATATTATAGCAAAGAAGAAAATACTTGTGAACCCATATCCTATGGCCAAGCTTATATTAGTGGTTTCTGGATGTATATTTTATTAGACACACACAATTTCTACTCTGTAAATCTCATGCTATTTTCATAAATTTAATTCTTGTAAGAAAATCAATACATTTCTAGTGTGATAATTTTTTACATTTACATGCATATTATCTTGTGGCCAACAAAATATATTTACAAATTAAAAGTGTCTTTTGAAATCCTGTACAACAGTCAATATTAAAGCTTTGATCTAGAAAAAAATAAGCAGTCATAAAGCTGCTATCGCTTGAGATAAGAACGAGGCGGAATTTCAGGTCGTTCAGTGGTAAATGGAGCTCTGGGGGAAAAGATTTTAGCTTCATCCTGTGTGTTCCTCATATGCTTGAACACTGTTCTTGTATCTGTTTGAATTTGATTAGAAATGTTGTATTTGGAGTTGTGACAGGCTGTTGGAGTTTGAGGTAAAGAGGATACTGTGTCTTCCTCACTGTTGTTCACTGATTTGTAGGTGGTACTGATGTTATATTGGATTTGTTTTGATGTTTTAGGGTTAGGGCGGTGGCCACCTATAGGTAGAACTCCATTGGAAGAAGATGCCTCAAGTTCTCTGATACGGTTCTGTATACCACCTACATTTCCCACACAAAGTTTCTGTTGTAAAATGGGTAAGTTTACTTCCTTGGGGAGTTCCTCAGTAATTCCAACATCATCATAAATTTCTTCTTTATCATCATTCTGCACTTCATGTTTCACAAATAGCTGTGGCTGTGCCTTTGTTTGTCCTATAGGTATATTTTGTTGTACCCATGAACATCTCTCTTCTTTGTTTACATCTGTACCTGATTCTGCTAGGGTATGGCTCCCTTCTAGGCCTACAACAGCCATGTCTAGATATTCACTGTGTTGGTTTGAAACAACATCATCATATATAGAGTCTCGGTCTGACAGATAATCCTGAGAGGCAGAGGGAGGACATCGCCGAGGTGGTAATGGAGGGCCTTTTTCTGCAGGTCTCACCTCAAAATCAGGCTTTGATTCTAATACTAAATTTTTCTGGCAGCCATCTGAAATGTCTTGATAAAATTCCTCTTCATCAGGTTCCTGAAGTTCATAAATGTCTTCACTCTCTCCATAAAGTTGTGTTTCCGAGGCAGCATCATCATAAATTTCATCTCTTAGAACAGGTCTGTACTGAGTACAATGAGGAAATAGAGGATCTGAGTGCCGGATGTGCTGAATACTTGCCTGACAAATAGCAGCCACCCACTGGTGCATGTCTTTCACAGTTCGTGCAATAAACTGAAAGGAAAACAGTGCTGTTATGAGAATAATAAGACATTATATTTGTGGACATGTAAAGAGAATTCTGCATGTAACTTCTTATATGCCAACAGTTGATTTACTGAAGTAGAAACACATCTGTTGTTCTCTTTAAATTGTTGATTTACTCAAGGTGAAGCCCACACGTTATATACAATAATTGTTTTATTGAAGTTGTGACACAGTTGTTTTTTGTTTAAATAACGTATGTCATATTTACATACATCTGAATGTTTGTAAATTTGATAAGATTCTGTTACCAGAGAAAGTGAACAGAGTGCAACCCTACATAATGCTAAGAATTAAATATTTTTATTACTGTTGTTGTTGTTGTTATCATCATTATATGCATAGTTACTAGGCAGTTATGTCATGTGATGCCATGGAAAGAAGTCGCATGTATCAACACTCTGAACATTTAGTCACTCTGTCCACTCAAACACTCATTAGCATTCACTACTCACAAATGCTCTGGGTTTGTTAGTGTAAATCAGAGGGGCTGGAGTGGAATATGATTAAAGGTATGAGGGAAAGTCTCCAGCATTGCCATCCCCACATTTATGCGAATTCTTTCCATTGCTTGAATATATGTAATTTTAATAACCTTAAGTATTAATGGTAACTCACTTTCCAGTTACTTACTGTAACGAATTTAAAGAAAATTATACACATGCCGCTTCCTGCTTTCTGTGTCTTTGCAGAACAACAACTCTTCTTTCACATAGGGCACTTCTCACACTTGCTCTTACTAACGCTAATGATATACGTTTAAATGTTCTTATAACAAGCTATCCTGATAACTACTCCCCATTTGTTCGTGATTTTAAATTAACTTTAGAATTCTAATATACTTCTTGAGTACTGAGCATAATTATGTAGAAGGAGATTATTTGTTACTTTATGGCACTTGCTGGTCTTGTGTGTCTTGACATTCTGTTAATGCTGCAATTTGTATCTTTACTGCTACAGTGACATGAACTATACATCTCCAATGAGTTATGTATCATCAAAAATTGTTTCAATTTACTTCTCTTATTGTTAAAAAGCAATTATATCAAGGAATGTATCAAAATTATTACAACAAATATACCGTTAAGTACTAAGAAAAGTAGAATATTAAAGGCAAATTTAGTTTACTTAAGAGCACACGGTTATAGCACTGAAAAAAAAAATTAACAATGTGAACCTTCCTTCATTTGCATCTAGTCGGTTTCCACTGCCTCTCCAGCAGGGGCTGATACTAAGACATTTAGGTACGGTGGTTCCATTGAGAGTGGAGCAAAAATAATATTTCATCAGCTGGAAGAACACTAGCCAGATCAACAAAAGAATGACAGTTCAGTATTATAATATTTATACCGATTGAATCAGAAAACTTGATGACCGTTGCACCTAATGCATTGAAATGCAGGGCGTTTATGCACAAATACATATATTGATAGTCCAGGGCAAAGGAACCGGACTCGTTTAGAGTACCACATTTAGTTTCTTCTCTGTTGTAGGTATAGATATTTTTGTGTGTGTGTGCAGAGATCAAAGCTTAATTCAGAATCCTTGATAATCTATACATTCTCCTGTTGGATGTCTTTCTCCAGCTAGACCAATCCTCCTAATTAAGTGCAGCATATTCTTCCTTAAGGTCTTCCTACTTCATACATAACAAGATCATTCCTGGGGGCCTTTGCTACAACAAAAATAAGTCATCAGTGCTTGTTTATATACCATACCTGGTAATCTTTCTTCCCTGGACACACAATTTCAAATGCTGCATCCTTGTTCTTGCAGTTCTTGTTAGAACTGACCTCAGGCCGAGCTACAAAACCTTGTATATTCACAGAAACACATGGCTTCACATCATGCTGTGAAGCATACATGAGAAGAAAATGTTCATAGATCCCTGTCCAATATCTTGGCCACTGATTGAAGAAAATGCTTTTTCTTTTGTGCCACAATGGTCCACATTTTACAGTTGTCTTTTTAAGTGAACTAAAGGTAACTTTGAAACTATCTTCACATTTTCCAGAACTGGAGCAGGAAGATGTTGATCGGCTGACTACATCTGTTGGAGGCTCCTCATAGTCTTCTTCCAAGTTACTGCTATTACCTATACAAGAAACATTTTTGTACTGGATTACATTGCAATCATGTTGGACACTTTCCACTACCTGAGGTCACTCTATATGGTAATCGACTTCTGTCCACTCCATTTCCACCAATATTGCGTGTTGTAGAAAAAATGTTAGAGGTCACACGTATTCCTCTTGGAGAGAAAACGACAAAAAATGTGTTAAATGTTATGGTTTGTTCATAGGTTCCAGTTCAAGTCAACTTATTTATACCAGGCACTGGGATCATGAAAACACTGCAACAGTTGCTAAGTTTTGAGGGGAACATCAGATCATCATCTGCTGTGCTAGGATACAGAGAATATATAAACTAGCTTCTACCATTATCAGGATATGAGTAAAACCCAAACTATCTTCTGTCAATACCATAAGCAAAACTCCAGACTACCTGACATTACCAGGATATGGGTTAAACCCCAAACTACCTCAAGCTATCTTCTGCTGTTACCAGGACAAAAGGAGAAACCCAAACTATCTTCTGACTTGCTAGGATGGGGCAAACTCCAAAGAATCTTTTGCTGTTGCTTACATAGAAGGGATATCCAGGCCGTTCTCTGTTGTTGATTGGATACAGAGTGAAACCCAAATTATCTCCCACCTTTCTAGGATAAGTAAAAGTAAAAAAAAAAAAAAGTAAAGCTATCCCTGTACCAGGGATAGGGACCCTGAGGGTCCCACACTATCTAGACAATCGGCTCAAAGATGGCAGTAGGGTTGTCAGCCTTACGTGACGTTCGCACTTTACTCCCCAGGAAAATTATTTAATTATTTCCTGGTACTCATTTCTGTTAGAGGCTGAGTAAACCCCAGGGCCTAGTGCGGCTGGAAGGATTACGTCAACTGAAACAAAACCAATGACCTCATCGGGATATGAACCCGCGACCTTCCGGCTTGTAGCATAGCCCCTCAACCAACTACGCTACCGCGTGCCCCCCCCCCTTTCTAGGGTACACGAGAAAATCTAAACTGCCTCTGTCGCTAGATAAGGGAAATATATCAATACTGCATGAAAATACAAATGAGATGGGAAAGGAATACAAGAGAAAATATGGGAGATGAAGGTATAAAATAGATAAAGGTAAAGAGAAATGGAGGTCAGGGAGTTGTTTGAACATGAAGCATGGCGAGGAAGAAAGAAAATGGGGCGTCATTGATGCCTCACATCATTAAAAATATTATTTGTTTAAAAATTCAGTAAAATCAGAATCTTCATTAGAAGTCTCTGTGTAAAATCTCTTAACTTCTTTGATTCTAGAAATGGCGTTCAAAAACTTTACTTCTTGGAACCCTTCCAGGAGATTCGCGGAGACCTTTAATGAAGACCATCTATTTTACTGAATTCTTGAAGAATAATGTGTTTAATTGTGCAATACAATTCATTGACATTGACACTGGTAAACTGTATTTACAAAACCGTGTGTGGGCCAGTGGTTAAAAATGAGAGTCAAAGTATATTAGGTCTACTGAAATTAATTTCAATTAGAAGTTCCTCTGATTTTAGATTAACGTAAATGTGCTTTAGTACGTTTAATGTTTAATATTTGCATTTTTTTATGTCATTTTTTTTTCAAAACTAAAAGGACTCCACTAAAAGAAACTTTGAGATACACTGCTGCAATAGATACATATAAAAACGGTAAAAATCAGTACATTCTCCTCCTCGACACTGTATCCAGGATAATATTCCGTTTCACGCTCCCGCGAACTTTTCCCAGTACTAATATAATGTTTTTTTAAAAAAAATAAGTATTCCTTTAGTCCCACCCATATTTAGTTTTTACATGCTCTTTGCAAAGTAAGAGAGAACGACTTATTTGGAGGACTTATATGTCTGGCCATCTGTCTGCTTGTGACCTGGTCCCAGCGCCTGTACTGTTGGACAGATTTTCTTAAATTTCGATATAGTATATTTTCACTAAAGGTTGTTGAGCAGTTGAGACTTTCAGCCATACTGATCCATAATGAAGTCTGCTTTACATATGGGCATAGATTGAGCTGTCCATATATCGCATAAGCCATTGAACAGATATTATTTGAATTCGGAGAGGGGGTCTTCCTTCAGAAGTAACAGTGCAATTCCCACTCCCAGCTGATCCGCAATGAAGCCTCTATCATTAAACATCTATATTTTTAAACATCGATATCAGACACCCACTGTCATTAGAAGCAAATTTCCGATTTTCAGCCGTATTGACTTGTAATAACGCTCGATTTACATATAGCCATAAATCAGTCATTTTCATGTATCTCACAAACTGTTCCACAGATGTTAAAATTTCATATCGGAGATTTTCACTGAAATTTTATATAGGACACTTTCACTTAAATTGGATGTCGGATACTCTCACTGAAATTTGTTTGCTAGTTCCAGTTTTCGCCGGTCACGGTAGCCGAACGGTCTAAGGCATGTACTGTCTTCGCTCGCTCGGAAGCCGGGATCGTGGGTTCGAATCCCACATAAGGCATGGATGTTTGTTGTATGTGTGTGTTTATTCTGTGTTTGTGTTGGCCTTGCGACGAGCTGATCACCCGTCCAAGGAGTCCTACCGTCTATAATATGATAATCAGAGGCCAGGGCCCAAGGCGGTTTGTGGAGCCAATGGAAAAAAAAGTTCAAATTTTCAGCCACATTGAACCATAATAAAGCTTCTTTTGCATAATATCATAGTGGAACATTCCATGTATCCCATAAACACTTTCACAGATTTCGTTGAAATTCCGTATCGGAGGTTTTCACTAATCTGAATTTCATTATTCACATCTTCAATTAAGGTAAAAGGTAAAGTTGTCCCTTTGATTAATTAATTAAGCATTGTGCCATGGAGACGTATGGGGAAGTGGAGATATACCTCACCACTCTTGACGTCAGCACTGGATATAGGTAAATGGTCAGCTTCACGCTCAGGCCGCTTTACCCCCAGGGAAAACGCCCTCGGTATCCTTCGGATAGGAGGTTTGGTGATCCCCACAGCCGGTCTGAATGTTGTGGAGAAGAGAAAATCTTACTCTTGCCGGGATACGAACCCCGGCCGACCAGCCCATAGGCCGTCGCTCTACCGACTGACCTATCCTGATTTGAAGTAGGCTTAATAAACCTCAAATGACGTCGTTGGTAATTTAGCGTACTACATTATGGAGTACACCATCCCGAATATTCATCCTTATTCCCTTAATGTTCTCACCCAACAATATATGCGTACTGTTGTATTTTAGCGTCCTGTTGCACTGATTTTCGTCCATGATATATATACAGTGTCCGTCTTGCAGTGCATACACTTTTACCTGTCACCTCACAACATGTTTCGGCACCATAGTGCCATCATCAGGTGCTCCATGCATTGCATGCCATTATGTCATTGTAAAATTATTTAAAAAGTATTTTAAAATATTCGTCAATTATAATAAATTTTTTGTATACTAAAATCTTGTTAAGATATTCATCTTATCTGTCCCAATTCAAAACCCGCGCATGGTTCCTCCACTATGGGAGTCGTTCCTCTTATATACCGTGTGTATCGTGTCTCGTGATGCGTGTTCCCTTTTTGGCTGCGGGTGTTGTATGTTGTACGCATGTTGTATGCGTACATGGCCGACGCTTACTTACGGACTTCTGGAAAGAATGTATAACATAGGCACCTGGAATACGCTAAAAAGGCCAAAAAGCCAACAACATTGTTTCTCTTATATCAGAAATACATACATGAGGGAGCTACTGCGATAAACATAGATCTTCAGACGGATCGCAACGATGAATATCATAACCTTCATCAAAATACACGACTTCTTCAAATTCTGGAAGTGTTTCTAAGTTCATTTTCCGGGCTGTGGGAGAGGGTTACTTCGAGAATACAAATTAAACTATCAGCGGATTTAGTAACCAGTCCGAACAAGGTCTGAACATCTATTTTGATATTCTTCTAAAATATACAAATGAGATTTCATATATGGTTCCTTTCCTCTAGTATTTTCTAAACGTAGAATAGGCTTACATAAGCCCGGACTTTCAATAGCATGATAGGCGGAAGCGCAAATATTTGTATCTCCTCTATGTGTTTGATAATTACTGCTTAATTGGTTTCTAACTTACCGTTTATTTCAATATAATGCTTCAGACGCTGCAACAAACCAGTCCGAAACATTTCAGCTCTTCGGGACAGAGATTCTCCGACAAGGGTTTTTCCAAGGAACTGTACCATATCTGTGGGGACAGGAAAATATACACAGCAGTTCAGCAATAAGTAATAACTGTAAACAACGCTCGCTGCTAGGCAACAGGTTCCTAACATGCACAATTGAACAGCAACAGGGGAGTGGTGTTTTCTGTGCGGGAGTTGATCAGGGTTTTTTCTTCCCTTGGCACTACAGCCCCAGTGGGCCTAGGCCTGCCTCCATGAACTTCTACGTTCACTTCGGTTTTTCTATATCTTACACATTCGGTAGGACTCCTTGGGCGGGTGATCAGTTCGTCGCAAGGCCTCTACCTGTACACAAACACAGAAAAACGTACACACACACACACACAAACTAAACATCCATGCCCTGAGCGGGATTCGAACCCACGATCCCGGTTTCAAAGCGAGCGAAGACAGTACATGCCTTAGACCACTCGAATACCGTGACCGGCGATATACCTCAATTAGTATAAATAATGAGAGAATGAAAGAATGAATGCATAAGGGGTAGGCCTAGACCTTCAACGATCCATAACCTCTGTTACTAACTATAACAATGACTTTATTCGTTTTAATACAGTAGTTGAGCTGGGATAGCGTAGTCGGTATAGCGACTGGCTACGGGTTGGACGACCAAGGGGTCGGAGTTCGAGTCCCGATAGAATAAAAAGTTTGCTCCTCTCCAAGTCTTCCAGACCGGCTCTGGGTTCCACCCAATCTCCTATCCAATGGGTACCGGGGATTCTTTGCCCTGGGGTAAAGCGGCCAGGGCTTGAAGCTGACCACTCACCTTCAACTAGTGGCTAGGTCAAGAAAATGTGGATCTATACATCCACTCCCCCTTACGCCTTCATGGCATAGTGCTTAAGTAGTTAAGCACAAGGACAACTTTACCTTTTTATGCGAATCTGCCCTATCGATAGGTCATCAGATCAAACTATTGCTCCTGTCTCCCAGGCGACCATTTTGACTCATCTGTAATATTGACAGTTGGTGGACTGGATGTAGTGTAAGTCACCTTAATAATTAAACATCTTGTTTTATATTAGTATAAAATATTATTTTGGAAATGTGTCTATTCTGAAATGTTCATGTTAGTGAATTGTTATGTTATATATTTTTTCTTTCTTCTTGCTCCCATTTCAGAGCACAGAGCTGATTTCTCAGTTTCATTGATCATTTTCACAGACGGTGGGACTCCTTGGACGGGTGATCAGCTCGTCGCAAGGCCCCTACCTAAACACAGGACCACACATGCACAGAATAAGCGCATACACACACCAAACATCCATGCCTTGTGTGGGATTCGAACCCACGATCCCGGCTTCCGGGCGAGCGAAGACAGTACATGCCTCAGACCGCTCGGCTACCGTGACAGGCATATTGTATATAGTCAGGCGTAAATACTGAAAGAAAAATCTGTATTTTAATTTCTTTAGACACTCCACCTACAGCCATGCATACACAGGAAACCGATTACGTCATATGTATATCTCTTGATAGCGCAGACTTCCGCAAGGTAGCCAGTCAAAGCTTCCTTTGCGCTCGGCTTAAGGCATTCACGTTTTTGCTGGGCGGCCTGTTTTTGTGTATTACTCTTAGTTTCGGGCATCTATCGATGTGTATATTGTCAGATACGCGTAGAAGCTTATAAACATCCATATCAACCAACGCCCAGGCACTACTAATTATGCAGTCACTTTTTTTTTATTGCTAGTGGGGTGGGACTAAGTCCCTTGTACTGCGGCCACTTCTGGCCTATTGTACCAGCCCCAGATGATAGGTGAGGATGATTGTGGAGCAATTGGTGGAATGAAGATTGGTAGGGGAAACCGAAGTACTCGGAGAAAACCTGCCCCAGCGCCACTTTGTCCACCACAAATCCCACTTGACCAGACCCCGGGATCGAACCCGGGCCGTAGCAGTGGAAAGCCAGCGACTAACCGCTTGAGCTATGGCGCGGCCTATTGAGTGACTTCCTCTATTTCCATTTTTCCTTGTCTGTTTTATGTTGTTACTGTGCTTTCCCTTCTCGTTTTGTATCTCGACTTTGATTGACACACATTCTTCAATTTGCAACTATACGATACAAGATTTGATTTTATGAATGATATCATGGTATGTGCAAGAAGTTGGGTAGAATACAGAACACTCGCGATTGCGAATTATTTTCAACGGGGGTTCACTAGTCCATTTACGCAGATCCTATTGCTTGGCTAAATATGTGTAAACTCGAGAGGATTACCTAAGAACACTTGGAACAACCTCCGAGAGATAAGGAATTGAGGATGATGTAAACACACAACAGTTATTTCGTTACTGCTTTTTCGTCTCAACACAACAACTATCAAAATCTCGTTCACATTTACCGTTTATAATAAGTTTATTGATCTTAATGGTATGACAGTGTGCGCCATGTTTCGGCTTATAAAGCCGTCATCAGGCAGCACACATTAACAAACATTTTCAAACTTCTGAATTGCGTTTTATATACAGCCCCAGTGGGCCTAGGCCTACTTCCATGAACTCCGTTCACTTCGGTTTTTCTCGATCTTACACATACGATATGACTCCTTGGGCCTACTTTCAGCTTGTCGCAAGGCCTCTACCTGTTGACAAACACAGAAAAACGCACACAAACATCCATGCCCTGCGTAGGATTCGAACCCACGATCCCGGCTTCCGAGCGAGCGAAGACAGTGCATGCCTTAGACCGCTCGGCTACCGTGATCGGCGAGTGTTTAAATTACCCATCACACTTTCATGAAAATAAATAAAATCTCCAGTTATATCAGATGTGATACTCATGTGTATAGAATTTCAGAATGTATCTCTAAATAAATAAAACCACGGAGTTTGTTTGTTGGTGAGTTTCCTTTAATGGGATTAATACAACTAATGTGGCATGCCTATCGTCACTCGATCCAATCCTAACTTCCTCTTTAACTACGACACACAGATCATTAATGACAGTGCCAGTGGATTGTACATCGCTGACCTCTGCACACCTCTGGGGCTATGAACAGTTGACTTCTATCATCACCATTATTATGTTTCTCCAATCACATAATGGCTGACGCGGTTATATTTATTACAATTTTATTGTTGTCTAAATGATGCAACTTGTCTTGTTTTTTTTTCTTTTGCCTTCGTTTGTGTGTTTGTTTCCTTCCTTGCTCGTGCTAATCTTACAATTAGCCTTTGTGCTGTTTAAGCACCTAAATAAATAAGAATTTTATTTTATTATTATTATTTACTACTACTAAATCCAAGAAGGAAGCACAATAGATCATTGAAGGTAGCAGTGCGGGGGCCGGTTTCTATGGCCCACCCCTTACATACATACATACATACTACTACTACTACTACTACTACTACTACTACTATTGCCACCACTAATAAAAATATTAATTAAATGAAATTCTTTGTNTAATAACTATAATTTTAATCGTAATAACAATAATTTCATAAAAATCATGTTATCATTATGGGCGAGAAAAGTAAAATAAATGCATTTGCAGTGGCTATGCCATTTTTAGGCGAGAAAGAATATTATTATTATTGTTATTATAACGTTCTCCAGGAAAACTAACTATTTGATATACGAGTACAAACTTCTTCATTTTACTATAACTCGAACTTATTCAGTGAAAGACTTGGGCGTATACCTTGACTCTAAACTTCATTTTCACGATCCTGTTAATTTTATTTTTTCACACTGTATTAAGATGCTAGGTATAATTCGCAGTATCACCTTTAATTGTTCAACCCTTGGATGCATGTTCATATTATACTTTACTTTAATTAGATCTAAGGTTGAATATGCTTCAGTAGTTTGGAATTCCATTACGTCAACAAATGCAAACAAACTAGAACGCATTCAGCAGAAAATTACGGTTCTCTGTTTTAAACGTTTTTTCCTCAAGTAGATTACTGTTACGATTTTGTTTTATAACAATTAAAATTGCACACCTTGCAAAAGAGGAGATATCATCTTGATGCGCTCTTCCTTATTCAAGTTTATCCTGGTTCTGTACTTTGCCCTTCTGCTTTGGAAATTGTTGGCCTTCGGGTAACTGTTCGATATACCCGAGACTTTCCTATGTTCAATGTCTGTTCTGTTAGTAAAACTTGCCCCTCTGCCAGATGCGCTTCTGCTGCTAATATTGTTTGTAGGGACGTTGACGTCTTTGGACCAAAAATTCTGTTGATGAAACAATACGTCAACGCCCTTGCAAACAACATTAGCAGTTCCTAGCAGAGGAACAATTTTTCATGAGGAGCAGACATTAAACAATGAAAAGTCTCTAACATACCATGCAGGAACCCGAAGACCAACAATTTCCAAAGCAGAAGGGTAGAATTTCAAACCAAAATAAACTTGAATAAGAAAGAGAACATTGAGGCGATGTCTCCTAACACGTAGTGTGTGTGCAATTTTATCTCCTCCGGAGCAAGAGAATAATTGTAATGGACTGAGGAAAGAAACGATTAAAACAGAGGGCCGCAAACCTCTGCTGGATGCGATCCAGTTTGTTGGCATCAATTGACGTAATTGAATTCCAGACAACGGACTCGTATTTTCACACACAACATGACGCTGCAAAATTATCGAAACATGTTGTAAGAAACGACGAACGTGTGTTGTTGGAATAAAATAAGGAGATTTCACACACACAATGTGATGCCGGTATTTCTACAATCTGGCCGCGATTTCATGATACCTCGTATCAGCGCTCATATGTAATAACTCACTCACTCGTGGAGCTGAGCCCTTCTTGAGAAGCCGCAAATGTGCAGTTACTCAAGAACTTCCAGCATTTTTTGGAACCCGAAGGTTCATTACCGTGTTCAGAAGAGCCCTCCACTGGTCCCTATCATGAGCCAGATCAATCCAATCCATATCATCCCATCCTATCTCTCTAAGATCCATTTGAATATTGTCCACCCACCTACGTCTTGGTCTTCCTGGTGGCATCTTTCCTTCTGGCTTTCCCACCAATATCCTATATTCATTCTTCTTTTCCATGCGTGCTACATGCCCTGCCCATATCATCCTCCTTGACTTGATCATTCTAATTATACTTGGAGAATAGTACAAGTTATGAAACTCATCATTATGCAGTTTTCTCCAACTTCCCGTCATTTCATCTCTCTTCGGTCTAAATATTCTCAACACCCTGTTCTCAGACACCCTCAGTTTATGTTCCTCCCTTAATATCAGAGACCAAGATTCACACCCATAGAAAACCACCGGCAAAATTATAGTTTTCTATATTCTAATCTTTATGTTTTTGGACAGCAGACGAGAAGACAAAAGGTTCTGGACTGAATGGTGGCAAGCATTACCCGAGTTCAATCTCCTCTTGATTAGGTGGGTCTCTTGTCACCATGGCATGTCGCGTCCTCAGTTTTCGGATGGAGGAGACGCCCTCCAAGTATGGAGGGAAGCTGCGAATATATTGAATGATCAGTCGCGGAAAGCCGACAAGGGGTGGTTCTCCAAATTGGGGGTTAGGCGTGGGGCTAACAACTCCTCGCCATAAAAAAATAAGCTAGTTACGAACATTTTCAAGACGCCTCGGACCTGGACGTATGTAATAACCGGTTTAAAATAATTAGATATAAAAAATGTAAAATTATGACAAAAGAGACCAACTGCAATTGTAAACCGGAAGCTAGGTAACGGGGTCCTGACGTCACTGCAACCCCGCAACTAGCTAATGTAGAACTGTGTGCGGAGGCCATAGCACAGAACCGTGTACAGTGTTGCTGAAACTGGATGCAAATGGAAAACTGTGCATATAACCCTCAAACGTTCCATTTGGCCGGGAATCGTTCGATGGTGGATGTAAGCCTGCAGATAAGAGCTCTTGTCTCGTGAATAGCTGAGGAACTCTCTGCTTCGCAGAGTATTTGCACAAAGCTCATAATGATAACGCATTACAAGTAGGCTGTGTAAATGCATGCCTCAGAAATTTCTGAGAGTATTTCGATTAGACTTAGTGTTACAAGCCATAGAGCGCCGGGATAACTCAGCCGGTACAACGACCAGGCTACGGCTGGACGACCGAGGAATCGATGTTCGAATCCCGGCAGGGGTAAAAGAATTTCCTCTTCTCCATAAGATCAAGACCGGCTCTAATGCCCAGCCAGTGGGTACGGGGGCTACTGTAACCGGGAATGAAGTGGCCGGGAGGTGAAGCTGATCACTCACCTTTATTTACAGCCACGGTGAAGAACGACGGAGCTACATCTGCACTCCCCCATATGTCTTCATGGCATAATTAAGCACAGGGGCTAAATTTACCTTTAAGTTACGACGCGCAATTAGGACGATATTTCTGTTGCAAAGGACGGCTTTGCAGGGTCCGCTCTGTCCCCCATTCGAAGAACTTCGTTGACCATAGCCCCTCTTGAGAAGCTAGCATCTGCTCTACTACTCAAGAACCCGAAGGTTCATACCGTATTCATAAGAGCCTCCAACTGGTCTCTATCCTGAACCAGATGAATCCAGTCCACCTCCACCGATTCTGTTTGAAGATCCTCCAATATACACCTAGGTCTTTGTAGCGGTCTCCTTTCTTCAGGTTTTCCTACCAAAACTTCGTTTGCACTTCTCACCCTTATGTGCTACATGACCTTCCAGTCTCATCCATCCCTGATTTGAACATTTGTAATAATATTTGGCGAAAAGCACAAATTATGAAGCTTCCCATTACACAATTTATTTGTCTCTTGTCACTTCATGTCCTGGACCCAAACATTCTCTTCAGCAATTTTGTTCTTAGACACATTCAGTTTATGTTCTTCCCATAATGTGAGAGACCAAGTTTCACGCTCATGCAAAACTGTAGGTAAGGCTGGAAGGATTAGGTAATTTGAAAAAAATCTAATGACCTCATCGGGACTTGAACCCGCGACCTTCTAAAATAATGTGTTAAATGGCCATCTAAGTATATATAATTTATTTTCTTATGCTGATTAAATATCATTCAAACCCAGACATGTTTAGTTCATAAATGGCCATCTTCAAGGGGGAAACCAGATACTTGATTTTATATTCTCAACCCGTTATGGTCATAAAATTACAGAAATCGATACAGAATAAGCACATTACACTAGGGACTGCTCAAGCGCTGGGGACATGACTTGAACCCACCCAAAGTATATATATATATATATATATGCATATCTTTCTGTCTTATATGTAGACAAAATCCATGAAGAGGGATCTTACGGAGTAGATTAAATGAAGCATGTGCACCGTTGATTAAAACCAAAGAGAAATGAAGTTAAAAAAAATCATGCATTACTTACCATCCAGCAAATCTTGTATTGCACTCTTATTCAAATCCATGTTTGCCCCCAAAATTCCTCAGCGCATTGGGGAATGATGATTTTAGTCCTAGACTGATTATAAGCAACTACTGACGACGAGTCATTCACGGACTTGTTCACTCATTCCTATACTATGGAAATAAAGCGACCGAATGCAAGGATGTGACCAGCAAGAAGAGCCTTCCTCCCATTGCATTGCTCCAAGAAATGAGAAATGATAGACTCGTTCCTTGCAGCGACTGTAGAAACATTATCACAAGGAAAGCGGGAATGTCTGAGCAGAACTTTATGTTGGTATCACTGGGTGATATTCTTTCTCATATTTCGTTATATAATTTTGTTTATTAATATATCGAATAAAAGTTGCGAATATTAAGGATTTCTTCCAGATGGGAGACAGTTCTCCAGCGGGGTGAGGGTGGGGGAGGAGAGAGAGAAAGACAAAATAAAATTTGCTTACGAAATTACGTGCAGCCGTTTAGGACCATTTTTATCTATCGTCCTGAAATATTCAGAAGAGAAAATTATTTATTAAATACTTCTAACGTTTGGTAACAGTGTTTTGTATATTCCTGTCTCTTTCGATTATAATTCCTTTCTGGAAAGTCCTGGGGGAGGCAGATGCCTGACTTGCCCCACCTCACCCCTTTTGGCACCCATGGAACTTAATTGGATCCATATTTTATCGTGCACCAATAATTTGTGTGATGATCTTGTTTTGAGAAAATTTATGACGTTTGACTCGTGCACCAAGTGTAACAGACTACGGTGGGTCGATATGGATAAAAATTAAATTCGCCTGACATTCAATATAAAATTTCATCGAAATTCACCTGTTAGTTTCGGAAATGAAACGTGCGGACTGACTGACGGGCGGCGGGCGCGAAAACGCACACTTACACTGCATAATATGTTGTCATCTATGCTGTTTATACAAGGTAAAACAAAACCACAACCAATAAACCTCAGGGGAAAAACACCTAAATATGAACTGTGATTTAAATCCGTTCAATCATATCGGAATTATTATGTGTGCTTGCGGACATAAATGAACAAGAAAAGTTTTGTATTCTGTGATATGACGCCGTGTAGTTTCTTTGAAATTCAACCGACGTTTCAGAGGAACATGTTGCCTCCATTTTCAAAACTGAATATTAAACAAAGTAAGAAACCAGCACGAAACAGACAGCGGGCAAAGCTTCAACGAACTACACTGCATTATATATAACTCTTCATAACTACCGCTGTGAGAACTTCATACCCTAAATTGGTACATAAACTAGAAAAAAAAACCTGATGAACTTAGCCATTGTTACGAAATATGATTAAAATCCTATTATATTTTTCAGATTATTTTCGTGAGGATGTGGGATAAAATATTTTCCCCTATCTTAACCTCCGGTTTCAGAAGTGTGGGCCTCAACGGAATCGAACTGCTAACACTATCACCCTGTTTGAACCAACGATGTGTTGATCGAGACCTAGAATACAGAATATATGATACAGAACATACAGCACATAAGTTTACTACAATATTGGTAATTATAAGCAGGTTCGTTAAGTCAGTCCTATTTGCAAGGTACGTTAAAATTATCTTTACTAAATTTCTGCATGTATTAGATCTTGTTCTCAGAAATTTAAATGGTTTTCAGACAGTTTGACGTCACCATCTGGGATAAAATAATAAATACCGGTAATGATTTACTCTTAGTAAACTGGCATTTTCTTCAGTAATAATTAAACTCTTTATAATAATAATAATAATAATAATAATAATAATAATAATAATAAAATTAATAATAATCATATAAATGTAAATAAATATATATAGGACTGTGTGTGTGATATAGATACCACCTATGAAACTTGATTTAGGAAGATGGTTTCCATAAGCTACTAAAATTTTAATCAAAATTTTTCTACCAATTTACAAGAAGAATGCAATTTTATATCTGAGGACACCTGTGAGTTAGAATGTTCATATTCACCAAGCACCAACACACAATGGTTAAACTCTTAAATACCATATACAAATAAAATCCGTCCAATGGTTCAGGCCCTAATGAGGGGCACATAGACAGCATTCCAGATGAGCACTCATCAATAATATTCTTCAGCATGTTTGAAGGTAGTCTTTGTTTACAGGGAAGAGAATCTGTGCATTAATATCTGCAGTGTTTGGGGAAAGGAAAAGTGACCACTAGCCATCCCCTCATTACACCGCTGAATATCTGCTACATATCTTGTCAGATAAGTTGTTCTTTCAGCTTAATTTTGTGATGTAAATTTATGCATTGTTAGTTAAGTTACTTTTGCATTTGAATTTATGTGCATGTGTGCATGTCTTTCATATACAAGTGTTTATGGCTACATTGAAGTGCAAGATGGAACCTGAAGGTTTGCTGGATGTTTATTTCATTTGGTTTCTGAGAAAATAAGGGAGCATATGGCACATTCTTCAAGTGCAACATGACAGAAATCCTTTAAATCTACTGAGATATCATTTCAGAAGTTGTTTGAAAGTCCTAGGCAAAGGGCGTTCTGTATGGATGTGAAACTTGGTCTCTGACATTAAAGGAGAAATATAGACTGAGGGTGTTTGATAACAGGGTGTTGAGGAGAATATTTGGACCAAAGAGGGATGAAGTGACAGGAGGTTGGAGAAAACTGCATAATGAGGAGCTTCATAACTTGTACTCTTCTCTAAGTATAATTAGAATGATCAAGTCAAGGTGAATGAGGTGGGCAGGGCATGTAGCATGAATGGGAGAGAAATGGAATGCATATAGGATATTTGTGGGAAAGCCAGAAACAAAGAGACCACTGGGAAGACCAAGGCATAGGGGGGTGGGCAATATTCAAATGGATCTTAAGGAAATAGGATGGGATGGTATGGATTGGATTGATCTGGCTCAGGATAGGGGCCGGTGGAGAGCCCTTGTGAACACGGTAATGAACCTTCAGATTCCATAAAATGCTGGGAAATTCTTGAGTAGCTGCAGATTTGGCTTCTCCTCAAGTAGGGCTCAGCTCCATAAGTAAGTAAGGCAAAGGGAGAAAGGTGAATATTACAGATGCCTGTAAGCCAGGCTGTAGCAAATAGGAATTGATGGATGCATTTCTAGGTAAGGTCCTTGTATGGTAGATGTGAATCTAAGTTTCCAACCAGAATGGTAAGTGGAGATTTGAAATATAATCCCCATTTTTACTTTTCTTCATTCAGATGCTTTTAGATTATGTACTGTGAGTGGGTATCATAGGGGTCCTGGTCAGTCACTAGTAACCCTGTGTGTTGCAAGAGTTGTACCATGCAGTCAGTATGCCTGACCTGTGGCAAATCCATAAAAACTGCTATAGAAAGATGCAGAACTAAAGGAAGGTAAATTAGTATATTTTTGGTGCACAGCTGTTACTGAAATTTCTCTGTACTCTTTGGATCTGAGTATCAGCAGAACATACCTATTAGATCTGCAGGTATGGTTACTGATCCTTCTCAGTGTGATGCAACAAATGTGTATGTTACCAACCAGTTGCTGAAAAACTAACAAGGCAATGGAATGTAGGATATTGTGTAAAGTAAATCAAACAGTAGTAGAATTAATGCTCCTTAATTGGTTTTTATCCTATAGTGTTATCTCTGTGTCTGTCTTGCCTGTTACAAGCATGATGGGTCAGAAGTAGTAATGCATTGATAAATAACTTGCTGTACAAGTGTACAACCAATTTCTTTGGAAAAGGGGTAAAATTTTTATAGCCATTTCCTGGTATCTGTAGGGGCACAAAACATAAGTGGTATAGCAGGAATGAGAATGATATTTTCCTCATATATGTGAGGTATGAAAGAACCTCGATAATTTCTGCACTGCCAGCAGTTGTGCCATTGCTTTCCCTGCTGGTTTTTGCCTATTGTTGGCTTTCCCAGCGGGATCTCTTTTGTAGACTATAGTCCTTTCCATATGAGCATGTCCAAGCAAGTTGGTCAGGTGATGGTGACACTCTACATTTGTGTTTGGGGTGTGCTTTGTTGGATCTTGGCCAGGACGCTGGGTATCATGACCAAGGCATTTTGTGATCTTCCTCAGCCCATTAAGGTACATGCAATGATTGTATCTTGATTACGCCATAACTGCTTTCTTCCAAATTTTTATTCAGTCACCTTACTATTTGACGCTATATAATCTAGATACTAACTAAATGATAAAATAAATAACAAATCCCACAGAAATTCCAGATTTCATTTGAAATTGCTAATGATATGTATGTTTGTAACTGGCCTGCATGTTATGCGTTATATTATGTTTTCAAATATTTGAATGCACAGTTGTTTGTTCACTCTAGTATCAACATTTGTGTTGGTTCTAATATCACCATGGGTTTGATATGACTTTTAGGAATACACACTTCTGTTCATTTCCTGGATCGTTCATATGTTCCATAATTTGATCATAAAGTATACTACACAGTGGAGTATGCAGTGCAGAGGTTAACAGGTTGAGGTCTAGGAATCAGTGGGTCATGTACATTTCCTTACATAAAGTAAGTTATTTTTAATTTGCAAGAGTTGGGTGTGCTGGACAGAAAATATGAATGACTTTAGTGATGGGAAGGACATGGAACTTGTGTCAGTGCAAGAGCAGTTGATATATGGCAGTAAATGAATATGTGTAGTTATTTATGTTTTCTTATTTTGTGCCATCTTACCACACGTTTTCTTTACAGAAGGAGATTTCTGCAACGTTGTTATTGCGCTGTTATGCCCTTCCATGTTCCCTCATCACATGTGAAGCATAAGCTCATGTTTGTTGTTCCAATACATCTGTATTGATGTTAGTTCTGGGACATTTGATCTGGTGTCAGTACTGATATCATGAAACTGGAGAACTTAAGTAGTTTTCCATGTGATATGGGAGCATGAAGTGGAAGGTACTACAGAGTACATATTCAGAATTTATACCAGTTCTCATTTGGTATGCAATAATTTGTCTCTCAAAAATATTCAACTGTTATTGAAGTCATTTTTTTGTAGACAGTAAAACATCAAATCTAACATAGCAACAATGCAGAGGTTTCCATTTAGCTTTCTGTTTAATGCAAATAAATAATGAATCATTGGAGACAGGAATATGAAATCTGTAATGAAGATTATAAACAAACCTGTGAATTATGTGTGAAATGTTGTCTATAAGATAGGAGTTACAGCTGTGGAAGCAATTCATGCCTTTGTGGTTAC